GACAGTTCTTTGTTAAGCATTTTAAAGTTGGCTTTCGAATAATCAAAGCGAATAAAAATACGTTGTTGCACGCACTAGACGCGAAAGGTACGATATCATTGTCAATGATGTTGCATGATATGCTTGGTAAATTAAAATCACGCAACGCAATCATTGAATCAGAGGGTTTAGTCACTAAGTTAACTGATTTCAGTAAAGAGATGAGTCGTGAATACACCAATGTGTCAGATCGGGGAGGTATATAGCATAGAGCTAAGTAAATATACCCTTTTCCAGCCTGTACACGAATGCATTTGAATTCTACTGAATCAATGTGTGGAAAACCAACTTCTTCAGATGGTATTGAAGAGTCTACAGCGAAGAGTACGCCACCGCCGATTCTGTCCTCCCTATCTTGTCTATAGATATGATAATTATTTTGAAGAATCTCTGAATTGAAAATGATAGGTTTCAGCCAAGTTTCAGTAAAAGAAATAATATTATAATTACATTCAAGGCCTTTAAGGTATAAGTTCGTTAATTTAGTATTTAAGCCTCTTACATTTTGGTAATAAATACCTAAAGCAGATTTAATAATTAAATTTTGATTCAGTGTTATGACGGGGAATATTAGCTATGTTATTTACTTTTTTGGGCCTATATTCGAATTCACGAACGAAAGCTTCGGGGGCCAAACAGAACTACTAAGCAGCGCATTAAAATTATCTAAATTCACGTCAATTTTAAATGAGGCAATATTTCTTTCGCAATTAAAATTAAATTTTCTGATGCTTAAGTCGGTAATTGTAATTTTTGATGAGATATATAGCTTTATATCGTCTTCGGTAGTGCCACTCAAAAATCTAGAAACAAAGATTGACTTCTTTGGTGGAACCACAACTAGTTTCCTTGTATCAGACTTGAGTACCGGCGGAGGGGGTTGTGTATCTGAGTTAGTAGTTGAGGATAGGGAAGGCGGTGGAGGCTTTGAAGATGATGCCACCACTTCAATGGGGGAAGGGGAAGATACTTCAGGCTCTCTATTATCTGAAGCACGGTCTTTTGAGGCTAACGATTCTGATGCTGGAGGGCACGTAGAAGATAAATTAATTAAGTCCGTCGGAAGATTATTCTGACGTGCAACGGCAATAATTTCCTTAGATGGACGATGAATACGCTTACGTTTAGACACACGGATATCCTTAACAGATTGCAAGGTATCTAAGCATTTGAATGATTTAAACATATTTTCATAATGCTTAAATTTTTCTGTCAGTACCGACAATTCTCTTCCCATTTCTGCAAAACCATTTTTGGTTTGCCTAAAAAGCTTGAAAAGATCAACTTCGGTTGACCTGCACTTTACGCAAGACCAGCGAAGGCCCCTGCCATCATTAATAGCG